AGAAAGAGGTTCTGAGTGATCCTTCGCACAGTATCTCATATGTATTGTAACGTTTCTCTTGTATCCAACTGATTGTCCATAGTTTCTCGAACTTCAAAAACTCTCCTGTCTGTCATCTCGGAAGTTGATATGATCTGTTCCTTTTCTCTTTTTATTTTTTGAAAACCGAGTCTTCATTTCAATGTAGAACGTAGGTATTTGTATTCTCTCTATCCCCTTCCCAACTCCCTTTCTCAAGAAAGTACGAGCTGTGAGTTCTGTTCTTGATAGGAATNCTTCCCAACTCCCTTTCTCAAGAAAGTACGAGCTGTGAGTTCTGTTCTTGATAGGAATCCTGGTAGAGGGTGCCAACATTTGCTTTCACAGAATCATGCTCACACTCATTGGAATCAGTTTTTGACGGCTTTTTCATGATATAGAACAGCTTCATCTCCATTTGAATCTAATCATGCTTACTCTCCTTCAATTCAGTTCTTTCTGCTCTATCCATATATAGTCTGCGCTTCCTGTTAAGTTGATGTTAAGAAAAGTTTTTTTCTGAAACTTTTTTTGTTTTTTCTCCGACTCTGCGACCCGACAAACTTATTTTTCCACGAAGTCAAGTCTTTATCCTAATTTAACTTGTTCATGTTCATACTCTTTCAATTCAATTCTCTCTGCTCTATCCTCATATAGTACGCGCTTGCTGTTAAGTTGATGTTGAAAAAAATTTTTGTTTGAAAGTTCTGACTCTGTGCGCGGAGCCAAATTTATTTTTTCATTGAGTCAAGTCTCTATACCAACTCGATATGTTCATGTTTATACTCATTCGAATCTGCTCTTCAATCTCTTTCTTAGTGTGGTATGCGCTAAGCATTTCGCCGATCATAGAAAAAGTTTTTTTTCCGGAACTTTCTGCTCATAGCGCTATCAAAAATTTTTTTTGTCATTGTTGGATCTTGTTTTTTCACTGATACTTTCATGTTTATACTCATTGGAATCTGTTCTTCTAGCTCTTTTCAACTGTGAAACGCGCTTT